CTAACCAGTCTGTGTCTCCTCTGCTTCCTAGAAAGACCTGATCGAAACCTAGAAGCTCTGGAGGAGAAATCTGCCTGCCTGCTCTGTGAAGCCAAAAACCTGAAGAACCACTGTCTAAATCTACAAGCCAGTTCTCAGGAGAGAACTTGGAGATCAACTCAAGGTCGGAACCTCACTAGTCTGAAACCAAGCCCTGCCGCTGCTGAGCCCTCTGCTGAACCCTCAGTCTCTGGACCCTTCTGGTTCCCTCTCTCGCTCAGTCTGAATCACCATCAGGTACAGATCAGTCCCAAGTTCTATCAAGACTCACCTGCTTCTTGGCTAACCAAACTGTCCCTCTCTACAGAGAACCCTGTGATACCAGTCCCGGACCCGTTTCAGCATCAGTTCAAATTAACTTTTGTGTGCTTTATTCAATAAACAGCTGAAAACGTTTACTCAGTCTCCGTGGTGTTTTGCATTTGGGTTAAATCAGTTAGACCCGTCATGACAATCAGCTGGTTTTCCTTAGATATAAAACTTTGTATCAATTTGACTGTATGATCTGGTTGTTGTTCTGAATTTGGTGCTATATAAATAAACTGAATTGAATTGAATTTATGTATTTTTGTTTGTTATTTTTAGTTTGAGGGATTCCTACATTCTGGTTCCTGTCCAGAGGCCAGTGGGTTGAGAGGGTTTTGGTGTTAATGCATCTCTTGGCATCTTCTCTACTGTTACTCACTTATTACTCCATCCAGACAGTGTCTTGCCCACAAAATCAAATAATTTAGAAAAGAGTCCTAAAGGATTAAATCATGATAATCTAATTAAAATTAAAATAAGTCAAATTTTGGAAAACGTTAAAACGAATAAATGTGTATTTAAAATAAGATATCTTCAAAAACTCTGTTAATGACTTGATTTGTGATAATCACATTGATTTATTTTGCCTTAGAGAAACTAGGCTGCAGCAAGAGGATTATGTGAGCATAAACAAGACAACTCTTTCTAGTTACTCATATTTCCATTCACCCAGACATTCTAGGCGTGGAGGAGGAGTAAAAACAATCTTAAAGTCTGAATAACTGATTGCTCCAAACTCAATTAATAAAAACAGTTCTTTTGAAGATTAATCCATAGTTTCCCTCATATAAATCGCAAAGCAAAAAAAACTCTTCTATTTGTAACTTTTTCTTCCACCAGGTCCTTACTCTGAATTTGTTCATGATGCAGTTATAAATTTTAAAGAATCTGTTTCACTTTCTCTCTCCTCTGTGTCACTGAACAGCACTGCAAAGCAGTGTTAATTTCATCAATCAGGACGATGATGAAAATATTTTGTTAACTGCCCTTTTTCCCATGACGATGACGAGACGATGACGTCCAAAAATTGTTTCCAGAAAATAAAAATATGACGAGAATAACAAATGATTATCGTCAAGGAGACTAAAACCAGACTAAATTTACAAGCCGTGGAAGAATGAACAGTAAAAAAGGTAATTGTTAGAAATTTGTAATTGTTAATATAAGTGTTCCTTGAACTTCATAGAACATTACGCTCAGTCAGTAGTAGCACAGGGCTTATACTGGTCACTGGTAGTAGTTAACCTTAGCTAGCTCAACCTCGCTGTCATGGCGTCGGGCTCAGATACCGGTTTGTTGGAGGAGTTTGGCGAAAACAACGCCTGTAAGTATGGAGCCTGTAGATTCCTAAGTAATGAAGCCATAAGCTTGATGCTCTTTCCCCTCTGTAATCCTCTTGATAATAAAAAACCAAAAAAACAAACATGATTTCCATAAAAAATGTAATAATAAAACAAGATTAGGAGAAAAATAAATTAGGTCAAAACGCTGTGTGGCTCCACTTCAATTAGCTATCTAACACTGAAGCAGAAGCCACTC